CTCACTGCCTTAGCTGCAGATTATTGAACTTCTATGAACACATCCATAATGAATCAGGAACTGCTATCATCCACAGATATCATATAATGCACCCTTTCTCTCCCTCGGTGAAGCCCTTCCAATAGGCCTCGAAAGCGGCCAAGTCCTCTTGGCAGTCAGGGTGCTCGGCCTTCCAAGTGTCACGACAGTAAGTCCTGTCAGTGGGATTTCGACAGGGTTAACAAGCTGATGTCCACATGGTGAAACAATGTACTTACTTTCATGCGAGAGATGGCGGCAGTGGCACCAATATGGCTCACGCCTCGATGTAGCGGTCAAACTCCATGGAGTCGGCGCCATTCAAGATGAGCTGCGTGACTGCGCCAAAGGCGACTGAGCGCGGAATATTTTAGAACGAGCCATTCGGCATGTAGATCACAGAGAGCTGCAACTTTTCCTTCTCTCCTGTCTCGTTCTCAAGCTCGATAGTGACGCTTTCCAGCCGTAGCCGCCTGTGCTGAATGTCGTCGGTGCCAGCAATGTCTGACCTATGAACCCCAGGTCCATCTGTGCGACGTTCTTTGCATCCTCTGCCAGAACAGGCAGCATGTCGGTGAGGTTCACGTGGGTCGGGAGGGCTTTCACCTTGGGGGCCGCAGCCTCTAGCAAAGCCTACGGCATGCTCAGCACAGGTACAACACGGAAAAAGGCGGTCTGCACACCTTGGAGCCCCTCTTTGCACTCTTTGCAGGAGCCTTGCCATTCGCTGGCGCGTCGTGCAAAGCTTGGCTTCAGCAGCAGCGTGTTTCTGACTGTCTGACTCCTGTCTGTCAGCACGGTTTCCATCCCAGCATGCAAGAGCAACTCACGGGGAGGTATGTCGAGGTGTGTAGGTTGGACGTAGAGGTGACAGATGTCAGGATACGAGCACGAAACAAACCTTAGTCACGGCGCTCCACTTGGCCCTTGTATGCAATTTCCAAATTCCACCGTGGGCTTGACGGGTCTCGGCAGTTTTCAGGACGATGTCATTTTACAGGTGGAAGACGATAAAACCTGCAGGCTGGCCACCGATGGTGATGTCAAAGTAAGTCAATGAGCGGGACTTGGACATGTTGGATACACAGCTCCTCTGGTGTGAGATGTCGGCTCATTTTACTTTAAAGCTAAATAAAAGACGGCAAATGAGAAGTTGCGAGAATGGAGAGTCGGCGCGGGTGACACAACTTCTCCTACGTTCGATGAGCTCGATGTTGTGGCCTGTTCATGATCATCTTTGATTTCACTGATGCTTTGCCAAAGAAGGGGCGTGGGCTGGAGGGAGCGGTGTTGTGGACGGAAATATAGCAGCCTGGCACACAAACGCGCGAGGGAAATGTTGGAAGCGCCGAAGGACACTCACTGTCCCAAGAGCACACAAGTGTCCTAGGGAGACACAGACTGAGATGATAGAAAAATATAATGGGGGGAGAGAGTAGATACAAGTACATGGTCAAAGAAAAGAAGACAGCGAGAAGAGAAAACTAAGACGGGAGGGCGAAGAGGGTAGGTATCAGTAACCTCCGGCCGCCGCCCATATACCTTGGTAGGTCTGAGTCAAGCCGGGTAGGTGGGATTCTCACTGGGAGCAAACTCTCATATAGGCGTGGCACGGGCGTCGGGCAGTTCAAGAT